TGCTAAATAAATAAATAAAGTAACACAAAAGAAATAAATTAATTGTGATCCATACACTCTACACAATTAGTTGAAAATGTTTACATTTTTATTAAAATTCTGGACAGCAGTGTATTAGGATGGCAGCGTCCAAATAAGAATAGGATTAATAGAGTCTATTGCCCCTTTATAGCTGTTAAAACATTAATGAGGTTTAGTTTCCATATTCCATATTCAGATTCTGTAAAATTAATTAATCAGTAGTCAAATAAATATGTACATACACACATATAGGCTCCATATACATAGGCTACATGCATACATGGGCACATACATTAAAAAATTCACATTGTGTAAACAAATCAATTCTTCAATTTTTTCTACAGTAGCCTATTATCATATTTAATTCACATTATGTAATTAGGCCAATATATGTAGGTTAGGGAAAAAATAGTTAAAAATAATAATAGTGGACAACATCCAAATAGCCTGCTGCGTAACAGCACCATTAGCGTGAATGTTGTCATTCAATTTGTAAAGACCTGAAAATACGTATCTATTCTTTGCCTGTAAGTGCTGTATTTACATCTTCTTTCTCGTTTTGGAATCAATAAGTTGCTACTTGCTCAAAACAAAACCTAACAAGGTTCTGACCATGTTCAAACTTCACTTTACTTTGCTTTTGCATAGCTGTCTCTGCTAGCGAGGTCTTAGCATACAAGTCAGAGTCTGATTGTTGTGATAGGAACCTTCAAAAAGAATCCATAATGTAGTTCGAAGCTAACGAGGGAACATAAGTTGATAAAAAAAAAAGTGAAATGCTTTAGGCTACTCTTGAGTTCAATATTCCCTCTAACTTGTTCAAATTGTGTCAAAATTGCCTCTCGTACGGAATACGATGATGACAATTAGCATAACATGAATTGGCGTCTTCGCAGAAGGAGCTGTAAATCAATATTTGAAGTGCCTTGCTTTGACTCAGCTGTCCGGAACTATTTCAGACAAGACAATTTGATCTTATGGTTATTTGATAAATTGTTATTCCCAATCCCAACACAGGCTAGATCCGTCCTCGCCTTCTTTAAGGTGCTTATGTGTGCTTTTAGACTTATTGCTCGGCTTTGTCACTGATGCCACAAATGTATGCTGCTCCCCCAAACCCCTTTTGCAGATCAATATTTCATCATTTTTGGAACGAAAAAGGCGCGTGATGTTGCCCCCTAGAGACATAAACGAAAAGTTGGGTCAGACTTGATACGGCTTTGAAAAGCTGAATGACGGTAGTGCTGAATTACTTCTACCTTGTCCTTGAATGGATTTCTGCTGCTGTCAATTTGGAGGATTGAAAATGTTCATACCTGTAATCACTTGGTGATTGTGAGTTTGATTGAAAGGCCACTAAATCAGGACAGTAACTGCAAGGAGATTATGCTTCTTGTATGATTTTGACATTGGCAGAGCAGTTATTGCTCAGTAATAGGCTACGGTTCAATTTCAGAAAGAACAAATTTGGTCTGAGATCTAATACGGTTTGAGCTCTGAGGAATTTTAGAGAAGCTTAACATAAGAACACAACATTAAAGGTTGAGCCTAAACAACGTTCACCCAAAAATGAAAATTCGGTCAGTAATTACCCATGTTGTTCCCAACCCCCGTGTTCGTTCATCTTCGGAACACAAATTAAGATTTTTTTACAGGGCTCCAGTCCAGACTAACTTTTTTTCACTAGGAGCACAGCTCAACATCAACAACATGCAAACCAAATTTTCACATTTCTACTAATTTCAACTGTAGGCCTATTACCAATAAAGACTTTGATACAGAAACTACAATGTGCTGTTTCAAATTCAGTGTCACATTTTATTGTGCACGTTTGAAGACGCAACAAGGTAAACCGACGGGAAGCAACAGAACGAGAATCTTTTTACAGTTTACTTTGACACCATTCCGCACCTTTATTTACTAAGCATGTTAAGTTTAATCGTGTCTGTTCTCTAACTGAACTAAATGATTATAGGCTAAATATCAAATCAAATCGACAGTGGGGTGCGGTGCCGCGGTGGGCAAGAGAACCGGTGTTGCTGAACACGTATAACAACTACTAAAGTAGCAAGCTTAGTAACAAAGTGCTTAGGAACGTTTAGGTCATTTGATTTCACAGTTACAAACTATACCAAATGTATGGGCACTGGCCAATAACATTCCAGAAGGTAGCGAGAACAACATTCGCAGTTCTCATAGGCTACATCAACCATTCTAACAGCCAGTCGTCCCGAAAAAGTCGATTGATCGCTTGGTCGTTGCTCAGACGCACAAAGCAGGTTTCTTCTCTTTCCCATAGATAATACGCGCGCTCGATTATCTCTAGGACTAGGACCCTCCACACAGGCACTTATAGTGGCTGACCTGGCCATTCCCTATTCTTGTCACACTCATTGGCCTGCCATTCATTCCAGATTCATTGACGCGCCGCTTCCACGTTTAACGTGTAAAAAAATTGGCAAATTTACTGGTCGCACGTGTTCGACGCTGCGACTGCGACTGGATGTAAAATTCAGTCGCACACACTCAAATTTTGGTCGCAGTCTGGAGCCCTGTTTTATTAAATCTGATAGCTGTCTATTATAGCCTTAAGCCTTTACTAACTTTCAGGGCCGGCAGGTTTCAACAATAGAAGCTTGGAGGACTGAGACAGCTCTCAGATTTAATCAAAAATATCTTAATTTGTGTTCCGAAGATGAACGAAAGTCTTACGGGGTTGGAACAACATGAGAGGGAGTAATTAGCCTACTGAACGAATTTTCATTTTTTGGTGCCTAAAATTTTTTTTGGTGTCTAAACTAACCCTTTACTTACATGTACACATCAAGATGTCCCGGCTATATAGATGACATTTTCCAGTGAAAATTCTTATGTTAGTCATACTTCCAAAAGAATCTGTGATTCCAAATGACAGTACCCACTGACTGTGACTGACAGCTGCACATTCTCCTCAAAAGATTGGATTGCTATGCCATGCCGAGGCACAACCCACGTAAAGTTGATAATTCCACGAATAACTGCAATTGCAGATTTCGAACAGAGATGCCGGCAGAGGAAAAACTACGGACTGCATCTTTAAAAATACAGTAATAAATATGATTAAAATATTTAAAAGGTGCATTGCGCAACATTTCATGTTAAAAATACCTGTTTTTTTCTAACCCATACATGCTTAAACAATTACCTGATGGGCTTCAAATACAAATTTCACTGATGTTCAGATTCACCAATGTTGGACCTTAAGCACAAACTCCATGACTTACCGTGATCAAATCCTACTGCTTTCATTCTGGATGAACCTCCATCCAATATGGCAGATTGCAGCCAAAAATACCAGCATTACCTGATGGATCACTGCAATGTCATCTTACCTGCCGTCTGGATTTGTGAGGTATTTGCTCTTCAGCTTATGTGAAAAACTGCCAGATCCATTTCGGCTCATCAGCTCAAGTTAGGACAGCAGTGGCCAACCAGCAAAATTTTGGACTTGTCAGTCAAAGTGTCTGTACTTTAAATCCCAGAGGTGCTGAGGAATCAGACAACAAGTAAGGAGTCATTGAGGTTGCAAAATTGTTGACACACTGCTTTGTCCATACAAATTTGATATGTTGTGTATGCAGTCTGTCTGTTCATTTGTAAATGCAATTACTGTTACAAAAATATTCCGAAATGTGAGTACTGCACTTGTCTATTAAGTCCAGCAGAGTGCAGTATGGGCTCATTTCTGTTAGACTAACATACTGCTGACTCACTGGAAAATCCAGCCCAAGACCAGACAGGTGCTTCTGCATGCAAACTCACCTTCAGAGGGAAAGCCCAAGGCCCTTTTATTTATTTATTTATTTATTATTATTGCGTCTCCCTCCTTTCCTCTCTCTGTTTTATTGTTAGCATACACAAAAATTTAGGAAATGTCTGATGTATGCAGCTTTAAGGATGAATGAAAAAAAAAAAAACATGTAGAGGTCATTCCTTACACCACGTGTCTATTCACTTTTCTCTGTATATTTTAATTAGTTTTTGTCATTTAATCCCAGCTAACCATATTTAACTGTACGTTTTGGGTTCCCAGAACATTTGTTTTTGGTTAGCCAAAGGTTTCGTGATAGAATTTTTTTTTTTTTTTTTTTTTAGGTTTGCAGACCGTTCGCCTTCCCATAATGTTCAAAGACTGTTCCCTTAACATTCTATTAACCCCACTTCATCATATATATTTTATGCCATGCAGATCTCAAAGGATTATTATGCAGGCAAGTCAGTCTATTATTAGTATTATTTTACACATCATTGTCTTTTGACTGATAATATTAATAATAATAATTAAGGAAACGGACAAATTCACACAAAATTGTGTCAAAAATGGCAATATCGGGGAGTGTTCTAGTAAACATAATCAGTTATGGCTTAAGAACGTAAACAGTAGACAAACACAACGCATGTGCGTCAGTGCATCAGGCTAAAGTGACAGCAGCCTAAAATTTCTGCTTTTGATGATAATCAAACAACAAAAGACAGAAAAAAATCACTGAATAACTGAACTGAATAACTTTAGTTAATCTATGTTTAATTTATACAGTGAAGACTATGTTATTTTACATTTGATTACTTTATTTAAAACTACTGTTATTGTAACTTTAATGTTATCTATATTCATCAACAATTTCAACATTTATATAGGCCTACAGTATATATATAGTACATTTCTGAATATATTAAAAATAAGTTTGTTTAACTATCGAATAGCCTAATTGTTTTTAATTGCATTGTTGAATGTTGAATTCAATAATTATATAGGCTATAAAAACAGTATCCATTGTAGCACCAGGAAAGGAATAATTAAACCTTATTAAACAACAGTTAAATTACGGATGAATATGACATTGTTTGGCGTCTAGCGTGACATCACACAGCTGCATGGTCTTTCGTCCAATCACAGGGAGGTAAACAGCGCCTAGTTTCGCCTGGTGTCAGCAGCAGCCCTCCCGGTCTTAACTCTGCAGACGGGGCAGGTGGCAGTAGTTGTCATGGAGATAACTGCGGGCCTGGCGTCGGCTCCAGGGGTTGTTTCCATGGAGATCCCGCCCCGAGGACGAGGTGCACTGGCAGCGGTGGAGGAGGACGAGGACCGCGAGCAGTTTCAGCATCCCCGCCGCCGCGACCCGACCTCACGCCAGGGAAACTTTTACATGCTCATCGTGATCGGTGAGATCGCGACAGAGCATCAGCTGCACGCCGCCAGACAGCACATAGAGCGCGGTGAGCCTCTGTTATTGAAAGCATGACTCTTCTGACACTAAATATGCCTAATATATTTTTCTTTCAGAATTTAAAACACGTTTAAATAGAGAATTATGCCAGATAACGAGAGTAGGCCTATGCATCCTTGTATGTATATTAATTCGTAATGGGATATCGCCCAAAATAAATCTTAGAAATGTCTTGCATACTTAATTTAACTTGATTTAAATGAAGTTTACAGCTTTAGCCTGCATACTTTGCTGCGGTGGGCGCGTGCATTTAATCACGGACGTTTCTTCAGTCTATCGACGCTGTGCATGCCTATTTACAAATCATTCCCAAAGATATAATTTGTTTAATGGAGCATGATTAAGGACATCTCTTGTCGTCTGTACTTCTTTTGAGCGATATAATATCAGATGGGACCATTATTGTAGGCTATAGTATGAGCACACTGCGGCGACCTCGCGTGACTGCACTGAGCACTGCGCCATGCCCATGAATTGTGCATTTTTAGATGAAATTGATGAAGCTGCAGTTTTTGCAGATCTCATGATATTATTGCAGCTTCAAGCCTTTGTTTATTTACCAGTATATTTTGGGCACGTGTTTAAACTTACTATAGGGCTGTGATTAATATGACAGGAGATGTTGATTATCTTTTCAAGTAAGGCAATGAAAAAAACGTGCACAGCCTATTATATTCAATAGAAGCATCTTCATGAACATTTGTGACCCGTGACCACAAAACCAGTCACATGGGTCAATTTTTTGTTGAATTTAAACATCAAAACTGAATATAAGCTTTCCATTTATGTTTTTTAGGATAGGACAATTTTTGGCTAAGATACAAGTATTTGAAAATCTGAGGGTACAAAAAAAATCTAAACATTGAGAAAATCTCCTTTAAAGTTATCCATTTATGTGCTTCATTCACTCACAAAAATATGTTTTTTATATTTTACGAAATATCTTCATGGAACATGATCTTTACTTAATATCCAAATTATTTTTGGCATAAAATAAAAATCCATACAATGGCTATTGCCACTAATATACCCATGCTACTTGTGACTGGTTTTGTGATCCAGGGTCACATTTAATTAAGCTTGTGCATAATGAACAGTTTGAAAATTGTAGCCCTTTAGCTCTTGTTGTATGATATAAACTAGATATAGAATTTCATAGCAACTGAAACACTGTATTATTGTAGAATTCTTAAAACATATTTGTTTCCCACCTTTTAGGATTTTCCATAATTATTTAATGATTTAATGATTTTCAACAATTTATTCATCTGAACATTCAAAGTGGCCAAAAATCATTAGTACTTTGATTTAAAATAAGCAAATAATCTGCATGAAGAAGAGATGAGGAAGGAGTAGGACACAGCCGAGGAGAGTCATAGAGTTCATTTCATTCCCTAATTCTCCAATTCACACTTCGAAGATCAGCACAGTTGGAGCTAAAGAGACTAGAGCATCTGAACTTTTGGGATCTTAGGCTATGTAATACTCAATGAATGTTCTGAGCATAACACACTGAATCTCGTGTGAAAATACGGGGTTGAAATATCGAATTTAAACCTGAATACAGAAGGTTTATTTGAACTGTAAGTGATTGAGAAATTGAGAATAAGAATAAATAAGAAGAAACGTGATAAATGAATTTAAATATTACCAGTAGATTAAAAAATAAAATGCAGATTCGTTTTTGAACTAACATTTTTACTCAAACTGTTATAATATATCATATTAAGCAATATAAAATATTAAGTAATGTAATAGTTTGGAGTGATATACATAAGAAAATTTAAGGAAATCTAATTAAATTTTTCAACACAAATTGTTAATAATATAACATAATATAATAATAAATTGTAAAATAAAGAAGGACGATATATAATATGAAAGAAAGATGTCAAATGAGGGTGTGGATGAACATTGCATACATGATCATGTCACATTTCTCTCTGTACCTGCAGGTATCCGATCCTGGGACATCAGTGTGTCAGAATGTGACCTGGACCAGCAACTACAGCTTTTCATAACCAGACATTCCGCCCAGTTCTCAGCCGAGGTCAGAGGTCAGTCCGATTGAAAGGGTGACATCTAGATCCTGCAGCACTGTTGAATGCAAATGAAGATAAACTGTCTAGTAAAAAGATAAAGCTCTTTTCATTAATTAATGCCACTCATAAATACATATTTTCAATGAAAAGTTGGGAATCAAGCTATATTCAAATACTACCAGCCCAAGGTCACACTGCAGTGTTCTAGCTTACAGCAAGCTCCGAGATAGCATGCAGCCAATCAGCATGTGTGTTTGCACGGGTGCTGCCTGGCACAGTGCTAATCAAAGAGCTGATTCAGGAGGAGAGGAGCTGCAGAGCTCTGCTTGACTGCTGCAGTGTGTGTGGGGTGGGACGGGACGGGCCTGAGGCACAATCGGTTTCAGTATAAAAGTGATTAAAGGCTAGCATGCTATTCATTTCCTAACGGCTGAGAAAGTGCTCTAGTAACCAATTTTAAACCTTAAGCTGCTGTTAATGGGATGAATTAAAGTACCTGGAGACAGATTTAATGTAAATGGCTATATAATTTGGTAATAATCACTCGAATAATGGTGTTTTTTTTCCCCCCGAATATATAGGCACTTGACCGTATTCACATAGCCACAATCAATATTGAATAAATGATAATCAGAGTGTGCTGCAGAAATTATGTTTTTCTGTAGGCCAAAACCAGGAAACTAGTTTTAGCACTTCCGGTTCCATCATCCTGAAGTCAATGTTTTTTAGGGTGCTTTCACACCTGAGCGTTGGTTTCGGAACCTGGTGCGTTTTCTCTGTGGGTTGGGTTTGTTTAGGTATATGTGAACGCGCTGGACCAAAACAATCGCTTCGAGACCGATTGCAAACGTACTCTGGGGCGGTTTGCTTGAGGTGTGAAAGCAATCCGACTCAACGGACCGATTCATAACGGGAAATGTACTATATAAATAGCAGTAGTGTGTGATTCTGTGAGTGAGCACATTAGTTATCACAGTTGAAAACAAAAAGAGCACCTCTTCATCTTAGAATATTGTGTAATTGCACTTCCTTGAGCCTTGATTCCTGCTATTGCTGCATTATAACATTCGTATAGTGTTTGAGTGTGTCTTGACACTGTACACAGCAACACACAACAGGGCTGTTTCATTCTTGAATGAATGTGGTTTTGAATGAATCAGTTTAGTGTATATTTCAAGTAAGAACTTATTCTAAATAGGTATGTGATTTCGGACGCAGCCACAGACTTGTTTTGTTCCTGAATGAATCAGTGTTTGAACGAATCGCTTGAATGATTCAAACACAAAGAGAGTCACTTGTTGCCCCCTTTTCTGGGATAGTTTTGCTATGTGGTTTTTAAGTTGTTCTGAATTTTTCATAAATGATAAATCTGACAGTCTAGAATAATAATAGCAGACTTTTCCTTAAGCTACACTATCTGAGGTAGATACATGTCTGTAGCACAGTATGTGAATTACAGTCTAAAAAATGCTGGGTTGTTTTAACTCAATTTTGGGTTACATTTTTAAATTGCATTTTTAATCCAATCTTTGGGTTTTGTTCATATTTGACCCAAAACTGAGTTAAAACAACCCAGCATTTATTTTTTTGAGTGTGTATGCACCCAAGTTTATTGCTTACTAGGGTTAGAACAAAAGAGCACCACTAATAAACTGCAATGCCAAAAAATGATCAAATGGCGCTTGGGAGGTGGAGAGACGCCCTCTGACCCTGGTGAAGGGCACGATGTGCGCTTAGATTAGATTGTGATGACTGGTCTTTGGGGTGATACAAGGTTAACAGCCACTAAAGGTTGATGTCTCAGATTGTGCTTTTCTGTGGCTCAAGGCCTGTCAGACACAAGGCTCCCGGGTTGATGGTTCAAATGAGACCACAGTATTGATTGTACCCTATCATATTCAGCATGCACCTTAGCATAGATCAATTACATTCAAGCTAATGGGAATTCAGTGGCTGTCCTAGGGCACAAATAGATTTGTTTCTATTCTGATTGGTAACAAAATGGAAAATAAAATATTGGCTAAATTAATTGCTTTGTCTAGGACTGATGGATATTTTGCTAAAAATGTTTGGACATACAAGCACTTAAAGTTGAATTAAGGATAAACTGCATGTTTTTGATTTTTTTTTACTGTGTTTTCAGTCCTTTCCCATCTTGTTCATAAATATAAAATGATGAGCTGCTGCCATCTAATGGATATTGTAAGTAATGGAGAACAGATTAAACACACAGACATGCACACATACACATAAAAGCAACTGTTTTCAACGGATAATAATAAGAAATGTTTCCTGAGCACCAAATCATCATATTAGGATGATTTATGAAGGATGGGTAGTAATGATGCAGTACTGATACACTGTAAAAAATATTGTTGGTTTAACTTAAAAAAATAAGTAACCTGGTTGCCTTAAAATTTTAAGTTCATTGAAATGGAAAAATTGAGTTACTACAATGAAGGAGATTAATTTAATCACCAAAAACTCAAAATATTATGTTATCTGAACTACATAAATTATCTAAGTTGATTTGACAAAAGAAAAAAATGTTGTGATTACATATCTTGAAAATCAGCTTTGCATCACAGGAATAAATTAAATGTTAAAATATATTCAAAAAGCAACCCGTTATTTTACTAATAGTTCAAAATATCCTTGTTTTGCTGTATTTTTAATCACATAAATGCATCTTTTGTGAGCATATGAGACAAAACATTAAAAAAATCTTATTGAACCCAAACTTTTGCACAGTAGTGTATATATATTTTTTTTAAATCATAAAATCACATTTAAATTCTCATAAGAGTGAATTTTTTCCTCATGTCTTAACTTATAACATGAAAAAATGGCAGTTTATTAAGAAATTGTCTTGGTTCCATAATGACATCATCAACCAGGAAGTGACTATATTGATTGACGAACAACAGCACAAACATCTGTTCAAAAAGTTTATCTTGTACATAAATTTGTCTGTTTTTCATCTTGTACAGAAATTGTATGTTTTTCAAATGTAAAAAAACTGTAATTAACTGTATATTCCTTACAATGACTAACTTAATATATTTATACACACACACACACCTTTGGTTTTAAGTGTCTGAGCTTGACCAAAGCATATTATCAAATTGTGTTATACCTTTTTTAATACTTTCCTTACAACAAAAGCATATTCATATATTAAAGGTTATATAGTTTAAAAGGTAACAAGTCTGATTCCTTCAATGTCTCACAGAACCAACAAGGAAATGAGGCATCAACAATCTCCCAGATTATAGAAAAGCGCAAACATCGCCAGGTATAACCTCAGTCCCTCGACTCACAGCAGAAATGACCTCGATCAGTCAGAGCCACAGTGTCTTGAGGTTTAGCTTCTAAAACTGCGGCTAATGCGGTTCAGGGAGAGGAACCGGCATGATCAGTGTTTTCATTTTTACTGAGTCACTCAACCTCCTCCTCTCTTCTTCTACTACGTTTCCATGGTGACCTGCATCTTGGCATGAGCCAAGGTGAGCGCCGATGTGAGGAGCTAATGAGTGCACTTTGTCAGGAGCGAAGTACTGTATGCACACAATGAAAGTGTTCCTCTATTTATATAATGACACTATGTATTTATGATATTTAATGTATTCCGAGAAATGGCCAACAGTAAAATTAAAGTAATTGTTTTGATTGTGATTTTTTTTTAATGCCAGATTCTGCCATAATTGGTTTCTTATAAACTCATCCTGCATTAACTGCTGACAGGCTTCATCCCCTCGAATATCCTATTATAGAGGCCAAATGAGACGTTTCAACCACCGTTATGCTCTATGAGTCAACGGTTAAGAAGACTGATTGTCTGCAGGCTGGAAAGTAATGGTCTGGGGAAGAATTTTCTGATATTTCTGGCCCGTCTTATTCCTGGAGAAAGGACTTCGTAGTAAAGTAACCAGTCGAAGCTTGACCTCTCACCTTGTCTATCTCTTCTGCTCGTGCCCTGGTTAACAGCACCTAGCTGGCGCTATACCCAGAATCTGACCCAGACATTCCCTCTCATGCTGTCTGATTCTATTATCAGGGATTTCTTTGCTAGTTTGCACATCTCCTGTGAGTCGGAAACCCTCAAAGCAATTCTTTACCACCCCAAACACTTTTAAAGAGTGTTATGATTATGTTGCTGATGTAAAGTTTGCATGCATAGACAAAATCTTTACTTTCACGGTTTAAAAGGGGGTGGGAAAGAGTCATTTTCTGTAATGGTGTCACTGTGAGTGCAAAAAGGACCTCAATGTACACGTTTATGGTCCCCCTTTTCCTCCCAGGATACACACAAAGGAAATTGGTACAGTAGAGCTCAAAGCCTCAAGCAGGACCTATTTATAATACAAGCACTGAGCCATAATTATGAATTTCACTGATGCTGAGGGGGAAGTGAACGATCACATGACTGTCAGACAGACTGATAATTAAGGCCCTGAGCCAAAACTTTTATATTTATATTGAACTTTTACATACCTCTGAACATTTTTAAAGCACCTTTGAAGTAGGCTGATGTAACGGCTCAGGAAAGGGCTGCTGCTCTTGACACCAAAAAAATAAATAAATAAATAAAATTAAAATTAAAATCACACACATACTACATTGAGGTAAATAAATTCATCAAACAATATCCATCTCTGAAAATCAATTTACCCAGTTCTAGTCTGTGCGTTTGCCGGACAAACACAATCCCCCTCAATTGTTTGAGCAATCTTCAGTGGGCTTTTGTTTTTGACTGATACAAAAGGCCAGTTAGACGTCCGTGGATCGGCACAGGCACTGAAATGAGAAACAAAACAAACACTTAAGCTGATTAGACAGATTTTGTTTTGAGTTTTCGTTTGGAAACATTTTGACTCTGCAGTCTTATTGGTCTTTTTTTATATATTAAATATTTTATATTATGAATGTCACCACGATCGTGTTTCAGAAGGGGATTTCTTGTGAAAATGTTTACAGTGAGCTGACCTTAGAGAGGGCTGTCATACATTATAAAT